GATTCGTATTACTTGAAATTCTGCATTTTTTGTTTCTTATCTATGTCATTAAAACTCATTCTCCTGTATATGTAAGTACAATAGACCGACTAGTTTTATACTTCAAAATATTTTTCGAAATTTTGAATTATTCAAAAGTCTCATCTATTACTAATACATAAACAATGTCAAAGAATATACAAACTTTTTCTTTTAATTGGATTAAAATTTTTATTATACGTATATATATATATTTATTTCGATAAATTAAATCTAAAACATACCGGTAACATCATAAATGGTAATAATTTTTTATAAGTTACATTTTTAAACATTTGTACATAAATTTTTGGTGTTATATCCATAGGACAATTAACTTTTTTTTATCCAATAAAGTATAAAATCTTCATCATGACAATTAAGATTATTAGAATCTTCTTTAATAATATCGATTGATATTGTTATTGATAATATTTATAAAATTCATGGTATATATTTAGATCATAATTGTTTATTTAATGTTTGTTGGTCAAGTGTTAACATCGTTTCAATACGATCAAAACAATTAATTCAGCTAAACGTAATACAGATATATATGGTAATGGAAGAAATTGTTCAATTAATAAAACTAATAAAAGACCAGTTTCGTCTAAATGTATTCCTTCAAGTGTACGAAAAATTTTTAATGATAATAATAATTTATTTCGTTTTAATAAATTATCCCAATTAGTATATATTGATTCAACAAATAAATAACTTGCAACTGATGTACGATGTATAAGACTAAATAAATTATGTACATATGTATATGTATCACTTTGTTCAAATAAAAAAGAAAAAAAAAATTGATAATGTGTTATTATTGATGTTCAACGTTCCATATATAATTCATGGCGACATATTAAATCACAACAAGATTATGATTGACCATTTATTGATGTGTTATTAATGATAATGGTGTTTATATTGATGAACACCATTCTTCTTGTGTATAATCAAGCATATTAAGATTATGTGTTCATTGTAATAATAATGGTATATAAAATGATGATAATAATTTTTAAATATTCACTTAAAATAGTTAAATAGGAAAATGTATCAAGACGATGTACAGTTTCATCACGAATTAATACTTGACGAAAATTATTTACAATCGTTCGAAATTGTTTAGCTAAAATAATTTTATACGTAGATCTTATAAAATCATAGGAATTTTAAAGTCAAATGAATGAGTGATATGACACTATTATAGAAGATAAATTCAATTACTAGTAGAAGAATATTGAAAGAAAATACGAATGTTTGCATAAAGATAGGTCTTAGTGAGAATAGATTATAGCGAAAGCTTAAGATCTTTTGATTTTAGATCAAGAGAAAAACGTCTGATTTCTATCACTGGTAACCAATTTTTATCTGTTCAGTTAATCTTTCTTCTAAACTTTCCAATCGAAATTTTTAAATCAATCATTCCGGTCGAAAGTTTATGAATGCTTATTCGTAGTTCTACATGTTTCTATTGCTTGGCTATCATATTTATGTCTTCAAATACACTATTATTTCGATTCATTACCATTTTCCATAATATACATAAGTAAATAAATATAATCGGATGCAAGAGAAACTAATGTTATATCGATTTGGCCACGTAATTGTCGAGTATTAGTTAAAATTCGTAAAAGTACATCATGTAAAATACGAAGAAGAGCTCTGAAAACAAAAACGAGGATAATAGTTTTTAAATTATGAATAAAATCATTCTGAACACTTATGCATTAAAAGTTTCATCTCGTGTTCCATTAACTGATGATAAAACATCATTCCATCTGGTTAATATAGTATCTTCAATTGAATTTTGTACAAGACATCGAAGAATTTGACAATTGATATCCTAAAACAAAAAAAAATTTTTAAACTACAGGAAAATTTTTTTCATAAACGAAAAACCACGAATATTTCCATTTGCTAATACTCGAAAAGCAACAACAAATGGATCAGTTGGTCGCAATTCACAGATGATACAACACCAAATAGTGTTAATTGTGTAGAATATATATCCAAAAGTGATTGACCCTATTTAAAAAAAAAAAGTAACGTAAAATCGGAGATTATTAAAAAAGAAAGATAACCTTAAATAAACCAATAGTAACATGTGATTGTAAATGAATAAGAAATACATTGACAATTTGTCGTGAAAAACGTTTCCATTTATCATCTTCATTTCGAACACTATCAACAATAATTGTTAACCATTGTAAAGCCTATAAAAATATAAATTCTATTATTGCTTTTTTCAGTACGTACACATGACATGAAAAGATGCCGTTTTATTTACAATAATAAACTTTATAATGATTAAGACGCCTAGTTTTCCTTCAAACTTTTTATTGCGGTATCTTTTATCAAATACATAACTGAAGATTGCTGTCTCTAAATGTTGTTGAGTTCTGGACATCGACAAGATGATTATTTTCAGATCATTGATTCATTGAAGTATTATTGAGTCACGATTGCTTTGATGACATTAATAGCATGGATAACCTTACCAACTGATACATACAACTTTTTCTTTCCACAAACATAAATTTCAACAGGAAATTAGTACTACCTATTACACTAATTTTCAAATGTCGAGTTTCTATGATATCTGAGACCTTATAGAGGGATATCTTTTATTCACTATCCTTTAATAAAACTTTTTAAGAATTTTAATTATTCGCATAACGACTATTTCTTATAATATTACATTACTTTATTATATCGAATAAGTTTAAGTAATATTAACTGGTTCTAATACTGCTAAAGCTAAACAAAGAATTTTAACGATAATTTATTTTTCTCGAAAATGTTTTTCTTTTCTTCCTACCATGTGTTTCAGGTTTATGTCTACTTGCTAATAATGAATCATAATGTTTTATTAAATCTTATACTTTAATAAATTGTTTTGAATGAAGTATATCATGTGCTAACATAACGAGAAATTCAGAAATACGATAAATAAAATGTGATGATACATCATAATCTGCTACAGTTTCTTCAATCATTTCAAGTTGATTGATTATATGAGTAAGAAAATGCTATTTAAAAATAAACGAAAGATGAGAAATACAACGAACTTCATTAGCATCTAATAAACTATAATTAACACGAATTAAAAGTAATTGAACAGGTAAATCGAGTACAGCAGCTTGAAAATCACTTTCATTTGTACCAACATATTTTTTAAGACTAATTTTTAGTTAAATAAATACTGTAAATTAGACAATATATTTTATACATAACGTGAACTAAATAAATAAATCATCGATTGTCGAATAGTTATTGTATGAATATTAGTTAAAGAATTATTTAATGGTACTTGTGAAGAAATATTTGAAGATTTTGTTTCAACAGACGATGATGAAACGATTGCTAGTTGATGAAGGTTTAATAAAAACTAAATTAAAAGAATATTTTTAAATGAATGTTGTGGTAACCAAAAACATGATTTTCAAACTTCGAATTGAAAATTTGTATAAAGATAGACTTTTGTGAGTGCTTCAGACTTTTCGCTGTTTCTATCCTAAGATACAATTTTGGTAATAGCGTATCTTACAGATCGCTCATGTACACCAACTAGTTTAATATTCGGATTTTAAGATAGAACCAAATCAAAAGATCTGACACTTTCACAATAAACTATTCTCATTAAGACCATCGACATTCGCAAAATCAGTTTTTCAGTTACTATGACATTCTTGTATTGAAATTTTTCTTCTCTAGGTTGGATCCTTCCAGAAACCTTAATTATAAGATTTCCAACTAAAGTTTTGTACGTAGACAAGTTTCAGATCTAATAGAATATTCTAAAGATTTTAGCTCAACCGATGAATAAAAAAGATTAATAATTGAAATTTTCTTTACAATAAATATTTCCTATTTAAAAGAAGTTATCTCGTGTGCACATTGAATAGTTTTTATTTTAGCAATATTGAATGTTGATTTAAGATAATTAAATGTTTCTTCCAAATGTTTTAACAAATCTTGTGTGGAAATAAGACTTAAAACTGATTTCATACAGATTAATGTTGTTGAAA